CCAGCAGGAAGAACCCAGAGACAAGACCCTTCCTTACCTGCCTCTGGTGAGGGTGCTGCAGGAGAAGCCAGCCTTCCTGTTCTGACCCAGGAGCTCCGCAGCTGCATGTCAGGGTTGCAGCAGTTGCATGGACGTGTAGCCAGACTGGAGCAAGCGCCTGCTCCCCCTCGACAGATTCGTTTGGGTCGTCCTGAAACTTTTTCTGGTACCGCAGAGGATTGTCGACCATTCCTCACCTCCTGCCGGCTCCATTTTGACTTTAATCCAAGCGAATTCCCCTCGGAGCAGAGCAAGGTGGCTTTTGCCTTGAGTTTCCTGACGGGCAGAGCCAAGAGGTGGGGGCTGGCTGAGTGGGATCGTGGAGCGGAGGTGGTTCGTTCCTTCCGGGCCTTTTCCACTCAACTCCTCGTGGTGTTTGATCCCTCAACACCGCACCGCGCGGCTGCTTCTGAGCTGCTCCGGCTCAAACAAGGAGACGACAGCGTGGCGTCCTATGCAGTACAGTTCCGGACGCTGGCGGCAAGCTCCCGCTGGCCTGATGATGCACTGGTCGACGTCTTCCTTCAGGGGCTCTCCAGCGAGCTCAAGGACGAGCTAGCCGCGAGGGAGGTTCCTGAGGAGCTGGAGGATCTTATCGATCTGGCTGTACGCATCGATCGGCGGAGGATGGAGCGCCTTCATGATGAGCTCCGCCCACTGACTTCTTCACCTCGTCCTCACCCGATTTCTGTGAGTGTTTCTCACCTGGGCAGTGACGCCCCGCCCTCGGAGCCCATGCAGCTAGCGGGTCGGGTGTCATCCTTTTCTCCGCCCTCACGACCGCCCACCAGTGTGCGGTTGACATATGGGACGAAACACGGTGAATATGACACCCTTATTGACTCCGGCTCTGATGGGGATCTGATGTCCCAGGCAGTGGTAAGCGAACTTTTGATTCCAGTCGAGGAGGTGTTTCCTGCATTGTCCATCCATGCTGTAAACGGTTCCCTTATCCACAAGGTGACTGCACGCACTGTTCCTGTCACTGTGACGGTCTCTGGGAACCACACAGAGCGGATGTGTTTTTTTGTGGTTGACTCTTTAGTGCCTCCTGTGATCCTGGGTTACCCCTGGCTAAGCAAACACTGTCCCCATATTGACTGGGTTTCTGGCCGCGTGTTGACGTGGAGTCCTTTTTGTTTATTGAACTGTTTGTCTGCTGCTCCTGTTCGCCCTGTTTCTAGCCAGCCTCCCTTGGAACCACCTGACATCAGTAATGTTCCCCCCGAATATACAGACTTGGCTGCGGTGTTCAGTAAGGTTCGTGCTAAGAACCTGCCCCCTCACCGTCCTTACGACTGTGCTGTGGACCTCCTTCCTGGTGCTCAACCTCCTAAAGGCCGTCTCTATCCTCTGTCCATCCCTGAGACAACAGCCATGGAGGAATACATTCAGGAGGGCTTACAGGCAGGCATTATTCGGCCATCCTCATCACCTGCGGGGGCAGGGTTTTTCTTTGTGGGCAAGAAGGATGGGGGTTTACGGCCGTGTATTGACTACAGGGGTCTGAATAGCGTCACGGTTCGTAACACTTACCCCCTGCCTCTCTTGCAGTCTGCCTTTGACCAGATTAGAGGGGCTCGGGTGTTCACTAAGCTGGATCTACGGAACGCTTATCATCTGGTGCGCATACGGGAGGGGGATGAGTGGAAAACTGCCTTCAACACCCCGTGCGGCCATTTTGAATACCTGGTGATGCCTTTTGGACTGACAAACGCACCAGCTGTGTTTCAGTGTTTTATTAATGATGTGTTGAAGGACATGATTAACAGATTTGTGTACGTCTATCTGGATGACATTTTAATTTTCTCCCCAGACCGTAAAACACATGTGCAGCACGTCAGGGCCGTTCTGCAGCGCCTACTTGAGAACCAGCTTTTCTGTAAGGCTGAAAAGTGTGAGTTTCACACCACCAAGACTAAGTTCTTGGGGCATGTGATCACGCCTGGAGAGGTACAGATGGACAGTGACAAGGTCAAAGCGGTTCTCGAGTGGCCTACACCTACTGGTCGGAAGCAGCTTCAACGCTTCCTGGGGTTCGCCAACTTCTACAGGCGCTTCATCAGAGGTTTCAGTGGCGTGGCTGCACCCCTCCACAGACTCACCTCGGCTAAGGTACGTTTTGTCTGGGACACTGCTGCCGACATGGCCTTTGCCGAGCTCAAAAGACGGTTCTCTGCGGCCCCTATCCTGACCCAGCCTGACACCTCCAAGCAATTCATTGTGGAGGTTGATGCGTCTGAGTCAGGGGTGGGTGCTGTGCTGTCACAGAGAGCGTCTGATAATAAAGTACATCCCTGCGCGTATTTCTCCTGCAAGCTCACTCCTGCAGAGAGAAATTACGACATAGGGAACAGAGAGTTGCTAGCTGTTAAGCTAGCACTCGAAGAATGGCGCCACTGGTTGGAGGGTGCTGAGCAGCCGTTTTTGGTGTGGACCGACCATAAGAACTTGGAGTATGTACGGACTGCCAAGCGCCTTAACCCCCGCCAAGCACGGTGGGCTCTGTTTTTTGACAGGTTTAACTTCAACCTCTCCTTCCGTCCGGGCAGTAAGAACATTAAACCTGATGCCCTGTCCCGCCAGTACCAGCAGGAAGGTGAGGCTTTGGAGTCAGAGTCCACGTTTATCGTGCCGCCCAACTTGGTCCTTGGGGTCTCTCGTTGGTCCTTGGAGCGCAGAATCAATGCTGCAGTCCGAGACCCCACTACCATTCCGTCTGGATGCCCCCCGCACTGTTTGTTTGTTCCCCCAGGTTTTCGCCCGGCGGTGTTGAAATGGGGGCATTCATCACGCCTGGCCTGCCATCCTGGGGTAACCAGGACTGCCTTCCTGGTAGCGCAGCGGTTCTGGTGGCCTACGGTGTCGTCTGACGTTCGAGCTTTTGTCTCCTCTTGCCCAGTGTGTGCCAGCGTCAAGTCACCCAGAACTCCTCCGGCTGGACTCCTGCAACCTCTACCTGTTCCCTCCAGACCTTGGTCCCACATTGCAATGGACTTCATCACTGGACTATCCAACTCTAAGGGTAAGACTGTGATCCTGACTGTAGTGGACAGGTTTTCAAAGATGGTGCATGCTATACCCCTGCAGAGATTGCCATCGGCTCAGCAACTGGCGGAGGTGGTGGTGCGGCATGTTTTTCGGCTGCACGGACTTCCGGAGAACATCACCTCGGATCGAGGACCCCAGTTTGTTGCAGCTTTTTGGAAGGAGTTCTGCAGACTCCTTGGAATAACGGTCAGTCTGAGCTCTGGTTTCCACCCTCAGACAAATGGTCAAGTAGAGCGCTTTAACCAGGATCTGGAGACCACCCTGCGTGCTATGTGCCTGAAGAACCCCCAGACTTGGTCCTCTCAACTCCCCTGGGCTGAGTATTCGCACAACACCCTGGTTAATTCTACTGGCTTCTCCCCCTTCCAGGCTGCCTACGGGTACCAACCACCTCTCTTCCCCCATCAGGAGAGGTCGGCTTCCACCTCCGGTCCTGCAGCATTCGTGAGGCGCTGTCGTCGTACATGGACTGAGTACCGTTCCCGACTGGTTCGGAACCAGGAACGGTTCACCTCCGTGGCTAACCGCCGGAGGTCTGCTGCTCCGGAGTACAAGGTGGGTGACAGGGTTTGGCTCTCTTCGGCTGATCTGCCACTGAAGGGGGGTGCCAGGAAGATGCAGCCCCGATTCATCGGACCCTTCCCCATCACCAAGGTCATCAACCCAGTAGCCGTCAGGTTGGAGCTCCCTCGGGCACTGAGAGTCCACCCTGTGTTCCATGTGAGCAAGCTGAAGCCTGAGAGACTCTGTCCCCTGCAGACGCCACCTGCGGTCCCTCCAGCTCCCCGCATTGTGGATGGTGGACCTGTCTACAGCGTGAATAAGCTCTTGGCCTCGAGGAGAGTGGGCAGGGGCGTCCAATACCTCGTGGACTGGGTGGGTTATGGCCCGGCGGACAGGCAATGGGTCCCAGAACGCCACATCCTCAGCCGTGATCTGATCGATCAGTTTCACCGGGAACACCCCACCCAGCCGAGACGTCCGTCTGGGAGCCGGACTTTGTGAGGGGGGTTATGTTATGATTCGCCCCTTTTTGTGCTTGTGTTTAACTTTTTCTCTGTTGTTTTTGTTCAGGTCAGCTGCAGCTCCTCTCAGGAATCCTCCCCTTCCCTGTGAGCCTCCTGGAGTGCTGCAGCTGAACCACATCATCTTGATTGCCCCTCATTCTATTTCAGGCCACTGCTGCCAGTCATCAGTGTGGAGTTGTCTTTGCTGAGTTGTACATGTATGGATTGAGTTTGGTTTTGGTTTTTGGTTCCCACAGTCAGTGGAGGAAGTTTTGTTTATTAAATCTTTTTGAACTCTGGATAAAGGATCTTTATTCCTGCAAATGGGTTACTGCAGAGGCAAACCGTGACACGTGGTCCACTTCCGCACTTGTGGATCGGGACATTAACTGGAAGAGTGCAAGGGTAGAGGGAGAAGTTGGGTGGGTGTGGCCAGCAAGAGCTTGTTTTCTTAGCATTTTTTGTTTGTTTGTTTGTTTGTTTTGAAAATGCTGAGTTTTATTTTGGAAGAATGTTTTGTTTGGCCTTACAGAAATCCGTACAGATGTGCAAATAAGTCAAAGTTAAATATTCATAAGTGTAAATTTAGAGGCAGTAAACCAGGCATTATTGCTTTTGAAAACGATTTTAAACAATACATTCAACGTGTTGAATCTTCTGAAAACACTAAAGGAAATAAAACATTGTATAGTTTCAACCTCTTGAGTTGTCTTTTGTCGCCCCCTGGATTTAGAATCCAGAAAATCTAAATTGTTGCAAAATATATTTACTTTTGAGTCTTATTTAATTTAATTTATGTATTTTAAATTCATGTAACCTTTTTCCTAATGCTTCTGATTATTATCAAACATGAATATTGTTTTTCTTTTATTTTGCTTTTCATAATGTTCCTTATTAGGCTGTGTGAAAATTAGCTGTCTGTAAAGTCTTTTGTTTTAAATATAGATTCATAAAAAAAAAATCAACTAAACTTCCCGTTTCCGGTCAGAGCTTTTATTGAGAAGGTCACGTGTGTTGCTCGGCGGTCGTTTCCGGACGCTTGACGGATGGATCGTTGGCAGTGGCCGCCGCAGACTCAGAGCGGGACTGGAGGGCGGTCCGCTTCTCCAGCAGCTGGGTCCAACTTAGAACGGAGTGAGGTCGGTCCGGATCGGTTCGGATCCGGTGTTGGAAGAGGTTCTTTGTTCTGTTCGGTGTTGTTGGGCAACAGTTGGGTTAACTTCAGCTCAAACCGGACCGGAGGCGGCTCGTCTGGAACTGGATGTTTTATTTCTACAAACTAAAGCTCCCAACAGTTACACCAGAACTAGTTCTGATGAGTGACAGGCTGGATGTGGGTCCGAACCTCGGCTGCGGGGTTCTGGAGTGAAACTCTTCAGTTAAGTGCTGCAGTCGGAGGTTCTGGTGCTTTGGGTCTGAGTTCCGTGGCGTGCTGCCGAGTGTCTGGTGATGCTGCGGTTCGGTCTGTTTCTACCCGCCACACGGCAGTCTGGATAAGAGGGAGACAGCCCGGTTCGGTTCGGATCAGCAGCTCACAGCCTTTCGTCTTTAAGGTAAAGATCAGACGTGTTTTGTTGTGCATGGGGGGTCCAGTTTGTGACTCATTTTACGCATTACAGCATGACGGTGGTTCTGGTGAATCCTTGTCCTTCATCTGTTTGGGATCGGGTCTAAGAGCCTTAAGTAACAGAACAGAACAGAACCAGACGGATTTATGAGGTTCGGTAGACGCATTCCACACCCATCAAGGTCATCAAGACGCTGCTTCATGTTTTATTCCTCTCAAATGATGACAACTTGTGGCTCTGACTGGTCTGGATCCGAACCGAGCTTTAGTGGCTGAAATGCTGCAAGACGGTTCTGAATGTGAGTCAGTCTGGGTTCGGGTTCCTCTAAAATAGGATCAGGTGAGACTCGTTCATCTCTGAAAACTTGATTCAAATAGAACTGATTTACCTTGTATGGAGACCCACCTGGTGGTACCTCAGACCCACCTGGTGGTACCTCAGATGCATCTGTTGGTACCTCAGACCCACCTGGTGGTACCTCAGACCCACCTGGTGGTACCTCAGATGCATCTGTTGGTACCTCAGACCCACCTGGTGGTACCTCAAACCCACCTGGTGGTACCTCAGACCCACCTGGTGGTACCTCAAACCCACCTGGTGGTACCTCAGACCCACCTGGTGGTACCTCAAACCCACCTGGTGGTACCTCAGACCCACCTGGTGGTACCTCAGACCCACCTGGTGGTGCCTCAGACCCACCTGGTGGTACCTCAGACTTTCCTTGAACTGCGAATGACCGTGGTCACCAATTCTTGTCATGTGTCTTACCCAAGTATGTCTGATCTTTGAATTGTGTGCACTGAAACTCAATTTCATTTCTCTGTGTGTCCTGCACATGTGGTAGAAATGACAATAAATGACTTTGACTTGACTTTGACTTTGACTACCTGGTACCTCAGACGCACCTGGTGGTACCTCAGACGCACCTGGTGGTTCCTCAGACCCACCTGGTGGTACCTCGGACGCACCTGGTGGTGCCTCGGACCCACCTGGTGGTGCCTCGGACCCACCTGGTGGTACCTCGGACCCACCTGGTGGTACCTCAGACGCACCTGGTGGTACCTTGGTCCCACCTGGTGGTGCCTCAGACCCACCTGGTGGTGCCTCAGATGCACCTGGTGGTACCTCAGACGCACCTGGTGGTACCTCGGACCCACCCGGTGGTACCTCAGACGCACCTGGTGGTACCTCGGTCCCACCTGGTGGTGCCTCAGACCCACCTGGTGGTGCCTCAGATGCACCTGGTGGTGCCTCAGATGCACCTGGTGGTACCTCAGACCCACCTGGTGGTACCTCTGACCCACCTGGTGGTACCTCAGACGCACCTGGTGGTACCTCGGTCCCACCTGGTGGTGCCTCAGACCCACCTGGTGGTGCCTCAGATGCACCTGGTGGTACCTCAGACGCACCTGGTGGTACCTCAGACGCACCTGGTGGTACCTCGGACCCACCCGGTGGTACCTCAGACGCACCTGGTGGTACCTCGGACCCACCCGGTGGTACCTCAGACGCACCTGGTGGTACCTCAGATGCACCTGGTGGTACCTCAGACGCACCTGGTGGTACCTCGGACCCACCCGGTGGTACCTCAGACGCACCTGGTGGTACCTCAGACGCACCTGGTGGTACCTCAGACTCACCTGGTGATGCCTCAGATGCACCTGGTGGTACCTCAGATGCACCTGGTGGTACCTCAGACGCACCTGGTGGTACCTCGGACCCACCCGGTGGTACCTCAGACGCACCTGGTGGTACCTCGGTCCCACCTGGTGGTGCCTCAGACTCACCTGGTGGTACCTCAGACGCACCTGGTGGTACCTCAGACCCACCTGGTGGTACCTCAAACTTTCCTTGAACTTGTGTTCTGATGGTTTTTATACCATCCCAGGTTAAAGCTGATAGTGATATCGTGTCACACTAGGTTTACACGTGTCTAAAACATTCTACTGTGTTCCTAACAAACTGTTCCTACTCCCACAATGATGACAGCACAAACGTAATTCATACATCATAACTTTGGTATTTGAGTTTTCTCTCTGCTGTAGGATCGACGGTGTCCTCTCAGATCCTAAAGTTCTCTTTGGTTCCATCACATCAGAGCTTTAGACACAGGAGGTGAAGGTTGCTTTTGACTCTTAGAGCTGCCGGATGTTGTTTGAATCATCGACATTGCAATCTGTGTGCAGGATTGTCACATCACTGTGATGTCAGAGGCAAATGACCTTAGCCATTAGCTTGGACTAACAGTTAGCTCATCGGCACTGAAGGACAGAAACTGTATTTTCACTGAGGTTGTACACAGAAGCACACTTACAAATAAAAGAAACGCTCCTCTTACCCCGGTTTCACACGGGAAGCATCAGCAGCACGGAACGGCAGCGGAACGTCGCTGCTCCAAATACAATCCATTATAGATTAAGGGACTGATTCAAACCAGTTCAGACGTATCCCGGAAGCGGCTCACCGCACCACTAAAGATGGGATTGGGATCTATTTTTTCCATGTGCTGCTTAACATAGGGCTAGACAGGAAATCACACGCAGTTTCAGTGTAAAGCCCCTGGTAATTTTCAAAATAAGACTATTGCAGCAATGCAGTTTCATATCTATGTAAATTATGTCTATTTGTGTGACCTAATGGCTCATTTACTCTTAGCATTAGTCCAGAAGTGCAGCAGTGCGTTTTCCTGGCTTTAATCCTGGCAGTGGAGAGGAACAACATCATACATGACATCAAACAGCGATGTCGAACGTGATTCCTTCTTTTTGGTTTAACGGCAGATGGCGTAAACAAGCTATGAACTTTGAAGTCTCGAGGGATTTTGTGATGTCGTGAGTCTAGCGAGGAAGCCGTTTCGCGGCCAAGACTCTCCTGGTGTATAATGGAGCACATTGAAGCCGCTGATGCTTCCGGTGTGAAATAGGGGTTGGTCAGAGGAGCTGCAGTAATATCAGAACTCAACAGAAATGAAGATGATGTCTGTAAAGATGCTTAGTTCATCTGGTCCTTTGTCTCTGATGTAACGTTGCTGCAGGATTAAACCTTCTGTCCTTGTCTCCTCAGATCCCTGCACGGTGGGACCAGGATCAGAGGCTTTTGGGTTCCTGCCATCATGAAGGCTCAGAAGTCTCAGGGAGTGACGCCGGCGTCCCCCTCCTGCAGACGGAAGTACCGTTTTCACTTCAGAGGCAGGAAAAAGCAAGGAGTGATTCAAGGGAAGCTCCGGATCCGGTCGCTGCCCGGAGCCTTCCTGGTTCTTGGAGTGGCAGTGGTGGCTGTTGGTACTGCTCTAGCTGTGGTCCAGTACTGGCCTTACCGGTCCTCCCTTCATAGAGGGGTTCCAGAGGGGGGGCATCTGTCCGAGTCGCAGACCTCTGGATGGAATCTGAGCACCAGAAGATTCCTGTCCTCGTCTGGTCTGCTTCATGTGGAGAGGATGAAGCTCCTAGGTCCGGTCATCATGGGGGTTGGGCTCTTCATCCTCATATGTGCCAACACAGTTCTGTACGAGAACCGGGACAGAGAGACCCAAATGCTTTTGGCTCAGATGCGCAGTGTAATCTGCTCTGTCTCAGCAGCTGTCCCCTCAGCGGGTCTCAGAGACGCCGCTGCAGCCAACCTGATGAACCAACAGTACCAGTGGGTCAGTAGTCTGCCAGCTGCTCATCTCAACATCTTGTGTCCGCAGCAGATGGCTGATTCTGAGCCCCTGCGCCAATCCAGGTCCTTCAGAGACCTGGAGGACAGCTCAAGAGGAGTCTACCAGAAGGCTGTTCTCAAGACAGAAGCCCTCCACCACCACGGGTCAGAACCGCCCCTTTCCCCCCTCTCCTCTTCCTGTGATAACTGTCAGACACAGATGTTTTCTGAACAGAGAAGACAGAATATCCCCCTTCTGAAGCTCAGTGTCAGCCTGGTGTCTGCCAGCTCCATGTCCAACCTTGAGACAGAAGAACTGGACGTCCCTGCTGCACTACCAAGGCGCTGCCACAGTTTAAGCCACAGAATTCACCCTTCCATAGTTCAAACTGGTCTGGGTCCAGAAGCCGGACTTCACACTTCTGAGGAGGACCATGAGAGGGAGCAGCTGAAAACCCTCGGAGGACAGTGTGGGTCCCAGGTCTGCGTGACCATCCCGGGACAGCCCACTAACCCTATAGAGGAGCTAACCCATCATAGCTGGCCTCGGTTGGACCTGGGTGGGGTGAGACGCTACCTGAAACTGGAGAACAAAGAGGGCTCGGTGGACAAACTGCTGGACCAGTTGGAGTTGCAGAGTTGTTCCTGTGAGAGAGGTTTTGGTTCTGGTCCTTTCCAGTGATGAAAGCTGTCTCCAAACACTCGGACCAGTAGAGCAGAAAAAAACCCAAAGTCTGAGTCCTCCGGAGACCAACCTGGATCAGAGTTAGGTTCCAGTGAAGTCTGCAGTTTGACTTGTCCAGAACCCAGCTGGTACCTCGCTTCACTGACCCGCCTGCTCCCAGAACCACATGCTCAGCTCAGTGTAGGAGAGACCGGTGGACCAAGCTGTTTTCATTGTGTTAACAGCTCTGTGGCAAATTACCCAGAATCCTCGGCTCGGCTTACGAAGCGCTGACAGCTCGTAAAACGCGGGACATAAATTCAACTCCAAACTGCAAACATGACGCACGGCAACAGGTTCCCTTTAAAACTGCTTCGAAGTTCTTGTTCTGATGAGTTTCTGTCTGCAGAGGAAAAGTCCTTCTGGCTTATTAGAGCTGGGATCAGGTTTGCTCGTCTGCCTGTAACAGCGGTGCAGGCTGTCAGGGAATGACTCTTCATTAGTTCAAATTCCTCCTCTGTAGTTTTGTTTTTGAGGATTTTTATGTTCTTTTGCTGTGCCGACACCAGCTCCCTCTTTCTACCGGTTTATGTAACAAACAAGTTTATCTTTGACCACTTCCTACGGATCACCGTAAACATCTAAACCATATAAATGCAGCTATTAATGAAAACAAAAAAAAATGATTATGAAGTCAGTTTTAAACCATGTGTAATCAGGTTATTATGTGTGATTGTTTTGTTTAAAGTAGCAATCGGGAGATTTCCCCCTTCCAGAAAGTACATCTGATTTTTTTTTATAAATCAGTAAAAGTGACAGTCTTACCCTGTACTGTGATATAATCAGTGTTGGGAGTAATGCGGTACAGAAGTAATTCATTACTGTAATGCATTGCTTTTTGCTGTAATGTGGTAATGTAAGGCATTACAGGGAAAGAAAATGGTAATATTTACTCGGTACAATTGTCAGTAACGCGGTAATTACAATGCATTTTTAAACCCAGAATCAAGATGCGTTTCTTAAAAATTCAAATTGCGGGAAACCCGAAAAAAGTTCCAGTATCTGCATATATGACGTCATTTATGGACTCAGCTTTGCGGGCAGAGAGGACGTAGCGGTACCGGCTCACATACTCCAGCTGCGTCCTCCATGCGGCCGCTGTAACATTCACAAAATCGCTCCACTAAAACAAAATAATTCACCTGCGATCGTTCATATCAGCGCATGTTCTCTGGTATTCTGTACTTTTCTGACGTGCTTTGCCTCATCTGAATTAATCTGGGCCCCGGTGATTTTAACTCATTGCTGCTGGAGCGCCGCGCATGTGCAGATCCCTTTGGCTGATAGAAAGTAGGAAGTCTAGGAAACAGTTTTTTCTGGAAGACAGAGAAAACATGCAGCATGCAGGACGGTTAGAGAGAGAAAGGGCAGGAAATAATTCAAATAAAATCAAGAAAACAAAACAAAGGGCTTGAAAAGACAAAAAGTAGGTAGATTTATCCCCAATACTCATTTTTACCAGTGAAAAGCAATAATATGTAAGCATTCATTATTTATACATGTGATGGAATCAGATCACCCCAGATGTCAGTGCCACATCCAGGGCCGTATCAAGACATTTGGGGACCAAGGCTAAATAGACTTGGAGCCCCCACCACCCCACTCCCTGCTCAGTTAATCTAAGATGGCAGCGTGCTGGGAGTACAGATTGTTGTTGCTTTTATTTCTAAAGAACTGTTTTAACAGCAATCCTAGCTCAGACACCACATCACCTTCCACCGGATGTGTCATGAGTTCACCAGGCATCAGATTACCAAACTCATACTGAAGTTGTTTTGTTGAAAGTAACTTAGAGTAATGCAAAAGTAGTGTAATGCCTTACATTTTAAAATCAGTAATATTGTAATGTAATGAATTACTTTAAAATGAGGGTAACAAGTAATAAATAATGTATTACAGTTTTGAAGTAACTTGCCCAACACTGGATATAATATAGGCAATACATAATTAGATTTTCTGATGAGCCCATCCCATACAGCTCCATGCATTATGAGTCGAGCCCTGCTCAGTCTTAGCAACGGGGCAGGAGTGTAGCGCCCCGGCTAACAGGCTCGCTTTCCTCTGCGCGTCAACACCTGAGGCTCCAGCAGACTGTGAATCCTTTCTTTTTGCAGTCTGTCTATAAACTATTTTTGTTAAATGGCGTATCTTTCAGTTTCTGCTGGCTCCGTGTTTTTGTCCGAATTGCCGCAGTGAACTGGGAGTATTGGTTTAGAATTAGGACTTAAGCCTAATCTGTACTTCTCCAGCAGCTCTGCCAGGGAGAGGTGCACATGCATTGACATACATTTTTCACTCAGACTTCTCCGTCAGCTGGGGATCTTTGCAAACAAGTACCCGCCAGGTTGGATTAACGTTTATATTTTCATACTTTCATATATACGTATTCTGCTGCTAAATATCTTTATTTTTTTTAAGTGCCTCTTGCGCCGACACTTAATGGCGTTGCGTGTCTCCATCCTGACGCAGACGGAGAAGTATAAATTAAGCTAAACGGAGACAGCTGATTCTGAAGGGAGGAGCCAAAAGAGAAAGAAGTTTGTTTTGAAGGCGGCCAACCAGATTCGTAGTGTTGAACACCGCTCTACCTTTTCCACCATGTTAAATGCTCAGTTTGCACACATACAGTGCAAGTGTCCATTACTCTCCCGTTGCTATCCGTTTTGATATATATGCAAACCTCAGACATTTTCACTCCCCTGGGGAGAGACGTTAGCCTGCTAGCTTACAGCTGCGTGTATGAATCCCCGCCTGCTTTAAGTTGTGTGACATGGTGTTGTTGTCCAAGAAATAAAAACAATATTGATGTAGAGGAACTTGTCAAACGTGTGAATTTAAACAAATCCATTGTTGTTCCATTCGAATGAATTTCAAAAGTCACGGCTGTTCTTTTATAATGTTAAATCCGATCTTTTCCACCGATTCCCATCATTTAAAAATCACGTTATCTGGCCTGATTTCAGATAACATGAGCACACCTACATATTAATTGAACTTTATATTAGTACATTAAATTTTGAACATTTACTTTCAAAATATGAGTCGGACTATTTGAGATGCACTCAAAAATCAGCTGGTAGTATTGGCCATTATTCAGCGAGATATGGAAGTTAAATAAAAACCTAGTTTTAATTTCTCACCTGTGAACATACCATGACTAAGTGTTTATTCATGCTAGCAATACCGTGTTTAACATAGAGACGTAAGTTGCAAAACCAGAATTTTCATGTTAGTCAGGAAATGTAAAAATTAAGTATCTTGTTAATTATAGTTCAAGATGAACTGGTATTGTCCCTCACAACCAGAATTGGTGCATTTAGTTGTTCGTTTAAATTTTTGCTCCAAACCAAAGGACAAGGACCACGGTAGCAGAGGACTCAAGTGCCTGTATCGTAACCGCAGGGTTGCAAGATCGAGTCCCACTCAGTCTGTTGCAGTCGTTGTGCCCTTGGGTAAGACACTTTGTCTACGTAGCCTGTTGGTGGTGGTCGGAGAATCTACCACTGACTGTTTACTCTGTAATGTTGATGTTTTTTCCCCAAATAACACAAGTCTGTCGTGTTGTGGAGTGGCCAATGCTAACGGCTAGCTTCTACTAGCTGAGCGTGCTCTGCTCTCTCCTGGATACTGAATTAATATCAGCCTTCCCCGTCATGTGCCAAGATGGGTGAGTCCATAATGCTAATTTTCAGTGTGATGTAGATCTGTTAGGCTTTTTTTAATCCAAGCATTTTTCTGTCAATTTTCTATCAGTGGCTAATGCAGGAAACGGGTAGAAGATTATTTTCACAATTTCCCCGCATGTGAAACTCAGAGTTATCGACCATATTTAAAAAATAACAAGTAAAAAATGGTTTCTTATCATATGGTGACTAGCCTAACTAAAAATTTCTTCCAAAATGTTTTGAATTTCCCTGCTAACATAATAACACGATAATTAACCCTATGCTGTCCTGGTTTTCACTTCTTTTCTCTTATTAAAGCAACTCAACTAAACTAACAATTCAATAAAAAGGTGTGATATTGTGGAACATTACCGTAGAACCAATTCTGTCCCAAATTCAACCTCTTCTGAATTAGTTTTTATTAATTATATCGATGATCAGAACATTTCCAGCAAGAATCAAGAGTTTGTTCACTTTTTCTCTTGATGAAGGCTCATTGGATCTGTTCACCTTTGCTGACGAGGTGGGTTGACCCAAACACAGACCTCTTCTGATCAGCAAAGCTATGATTCCTTCATGTTTCCTATGATGCCTGTGTCGTGTTACTCTGTAAAAGATTCAAAGCAATATGCCAGAACTTCCAACTGTTCTCAAAAGCAGAGCCTGAGCTGCAAATAAAAGTAACAAATAAAATGTTGTTTGTCTCACTTATGTATGTTTATGTATTTGGCAGATGCTTTTATACAATGCAAATTACAAATGAGTCAAAGGAAATACTTCTAGATGTTTATTCGTATGAATCTGAGATTATTTCCTCTGATCACCAGGATCCTTGTGTCCACAGGGTCTAGACCAGTGGTACTCCTTTCCTGTTGGCTCATAGATCCCTGGAGAATATAAAATGAATGCAAGTCAGAAAGATAAAAGAGCTATGTTCTCATTTGTAATCAGCCTCATGCCCTGGATTGCATATATGTTGTACTTCTATTTAAATATACCGTAATAAAATAAATTTTGGGTGTTTTGACCACGCCTGTCACATTCTTTGAGATTTATCGGCTTGTAAAAGTTGGTAATTAGCATGCCTACAAACCAGACATCAGTACGTTGCCTGTGTGACATCACCAGAGAATCTCCTCTCCCCTAGCGTAGCTGCTACTCACCACATGGCCAGATTTATGGTGTCCCTCAGTTTTCTCCGTGTCTGGTTGATGACGTCACTTTCCAGAAGCGCATTTTGTAGTCCTGGACTTATTTTCACACAAAACCTAAAATAGCATTTCTTCCGTTCAAAAATGTGCGCGTTCTTGGTATCAAAACGCATCTTTAAATTTCACTGACATCATATGTGAAATCCATGGCACATAACAAGCGGAATTAGAAAATAGCATTTTTAGCCTCCTTGACTTGCATTCATGGACGTAGATTTGGGAGGGGAGGCAGGGGGGCATGTCCCTCCCACTTTTTTCCAAAGTAAATTTTTAACCCCTGCACTTTTTGCCATCCAAAAACAATATCAAGCCATATTAAATAGACACTGGTTGAGCAATAGAACCAAGCAAAAAACAACCGTTTGTGTTGAAGCCTGTTTCCCGTTAGAACTTACTGTAAAGATCCCCGCCCCGGTCCTCATGCCAGTTGTGCCCCTCCTGCTTCTTAAGTCAAAACTATGTCCATACTTGCATTCTTTTTTCATTCTTCCAGGAAACCATGGAGTAGATGGGTGTGACTTAGGCTCCCTATAGGCGGCGCCCCTCTTTGTGGCCCCCCTACCCCCCTCCCCCACCGGACTGGACCTTTAAATAGGATGGTACTGCCATACTGTGAGCCCCACTCTAACATCATAGACATGAGGCCCATGTTTGCTGGCTGAGTTCTTCAGTAGAACCTTGTGCACGCTCATAATTCTCTCTTCTTATTAGACTTTATGGTTCCCTCCAGGCAGGTATGCAGTTCCTCGTGATGACTTCTCATTTAATTGGTCGTTTACGAGATGGCTTTTGGATTTCTAACTGATCATAAAGAGAGCAGACCAGGCTTGCAACCATTTAGAGAAAAGGTATAAGAACTAATATTACAGCGGAGGGTGGAACCCATGGATGTCTTCATACTGGTCAGATGTTCACTAAAACAGCAAAACAGGATGTTTCTGTAACAAATGGCCCAACAAGCATCATTAGTGGCACATGGCTGTCCATTAGCTAACACATGCATTAGTGCAGCAGACAGAATGAGGTAAAAGCAGGATAATTATCACCACGTTACACCCTCCCTCTCTCTCACACATACTTAGGAATTTAAATGGACAGCAAATGCTTTCCTACAAACTGAGTTCAGCACATCTGAGAAATGACTCCAGAAAGGTTTTAGCTTTATTTATACATCAGAGATTACAGCAGTAAAATAAATAACAGACTAAACTTGGTAAAGTATTCTTCTGTGCCATTATGAATCAGATAGGTGTGTGATCTAACAAAATGAAGTATACTTGGAATAAGTAACATCCATCCATGATCTGGAGTCGGGTCACGGGGCATCAGCCTAAGCAGAGAGGCCCAGACTTCCTTCTCCCCAGCTACAAGGGCCAGTTCCTCCGGGAGAATCAGGCGTTCCCTGGCCAGCCGAGAGACATAGTCCCTCCAGCGTGTCTTGTTGTTTTCTCCCAGTTGGACGTGCCAGGAAAACCTCTCCAGGGAGGCATCTAGGAGACATCCTAATCAGATGCTCGAGCCACCTCAACTAGCTCCTTTGATGTGGAGGAGCAGCAGATCTACTCCGAGCCCCTCCCAGATGACCGAGCTTCTCACCCTATAAGGGAGAGCCCAGACACCCTGCCGAGAAAACCAATTTCAGCCACTTGTATTTGCAATCTCATTATTTTGGTCACTACCCAAAGCTCTTGCCCATAGTTGAGGGCAGGAACATAGCTTTGCTTTCTGGCTCAGCTCTCTCTTCACCACGACAGACCAGTACAATGCCTGCATCACTGCAGATGCGCCAATCCGCCTATCGATCTCATGCTTAATCTTTCCCTCACTCGTGAACAAGACCCAGAGATACTTAAACTCCTCCACTTGGGGCATGACGTCATCCCTGACCCAGAGAAGGCATTCTACCCTTTTCCGATTCATGACCATGATCTCGGAGCTGCTTCTCATCCCAGCTGCTTCAGACTGTATGTATTTCAGGAAAAGTTCCCTAATGAACAAACACCAGATCTGTGACATCTGACAGCAGATAATTCTATCAGAATCTTTTTGCTTCGGTATTTATTCATACACAGATTTTATAATCTGCTTCTTGAAGATTCAAACATCTGATAAATACTTTAAAAAACTGAATTCAAATGAACACACTGATGTTTCATTCATGAAGGATAGAATCAGTTTATTTATGTCCAAGTCAGATATTTGTTTCTAAAACCGTGTGTGTGTGAGTGTGTGTGAACAAATTGAAGAGCTCCCAGGATGTGTTGGCTTGCGTATCAGTAGATTTCAGTCAGCTAGAAGAGGGAGGGGATGATCTCAGAGCTCTCTCTCTCTCTCTCTCTCTCTCTCTCTCTCTCTCTCTCTCTCTCTCTCACTCACACACTCACACACACACACACACACACACACACACACACACACACACACACACACACACACTGCATTTTGAAGCATGTTTGTATGTCGCTCTGTAGGTTTATCTGAGAGGTTTTTGTCTCCAGTGTCCAGAGGAAGGAAGGACCTTCCCACGCCTTACAGCTCCCGTCAGTTTGAAACATTTATCTGATATGATGTGTTTGTAGCTGAAGGATTAGAACATAGCGATGGGATTAGAAAGCTTGATGATGACTGGTCTTGTAGATGGTGAGGGGGTCCCTTCGGGAATCACTGGATTTTTATTAGATGTGAAAAGTGGTGGCTGGTGGATTTCCCTTCCTGGTACAGTTTAAGCATTCAAATGAACAGTCCGAAAATCCCTACAACTCCACAATATTAATTAAACAAACCATTACTATTAGAACCATGTCTAGTGACACAAACATACAGTGGGGCAAAAAAGTATTTAGTCAGCCACCGATTGTGCAAGTTCTCCCACTTAAAATGTGAAAAAAATCCATGCATTCACATGGCAGGATTTTTAAAGAATTTATTTGTAAA